CTTGGTCTGATTTAGGTCTGAGGGTTCCTAAAGGAGGGATTTGCTCTCAGGAAGTCTCTTAAGCCCCCGACCACAGGCTGGCAAAGGAGGACACCCTGCAAGGAGGACGCCCACCCCGCTTCCCAGGGAAGTTCTGTGGGATGAATCCTGCTTTTCCAGCTCAGGCAGCAGCTGTGGGACATCGTGGGTGCAGCTCCAAGGGCTGCAGTAACTCTGTGACACCCCACCGGTGGCTCAGAGCTCGGCTCAGGCTCAGCTCAACAATTCCAGGCCCTGGGAAAAAGGGGGACAGGGCTGGGAGAAACTCACTTCCCAAAGACGGGGTTGAGCTGCTTGGAGATGTAGTTCTCCTTATCCTTGATGTCGGTCTTGCCCAGCCGGATGGCGATGTAGGGGTCGGCCTTGCCGTTGATGTCGGCGGGGTGAAGGTCTGTGGCCTGGGGAGGGCACGGGAGATCCCTCAGGGATGGATCCATCCCCGGCAGGGAAGGATTCAGGGATCCTTCTCTGCCCCTGGGAACACCTGGCCCTGTCTGGCCACTCCAGTCACCCTAAATGGGGTGTTTTGGATAAAACTGGGGCTGTTCCTGCCTGGTGTTTATCCCTGTCCCCGCCTCGCCACTCCAGTCCCCCTAAATGGGGTGTTTTGGGGAAAACTGGGGCTATTCCTGCCTGGTGTTAGTGCCTGTCCCTGTCTGGCCACTCCAGTCCTCCTAAATGGGGTGTTTTGGATAAAACTGGGGCTATTCCTGCCTGATGTTAGTGCACATGGAAGGGACCCTGGGATCACAGCCTGTCCCAGCACATGGATGAGACCCTGGGATCACCCCCTGTCCCAGCACATGGAAGGGACTCTGGGATCACCCCCTGTGCCAGCACATGGAAGGATTTCTGGGATCACAGCCTGTCCCAGCACATGGAAGGATTCCTGGGATCACCCCCCTTGTCCCAGCACACGGAGGGATTCCTGGGATCACACACACCCTGTCCCAGCACATGGAAGGGACCCTGGGATCACAGCCTGTCCCAGCACACATGGATGAGCAAATGGAAGGGACCCTGGGATCACACACCCTCTGTCCCAGCACATGGAAGGGACCCTGGGATCACACACCCCCTGTCCCAGCACATGGAAGGATTCCTGGGATCACAGCCTGTCCCAGCACATGGATGAGCAAATGGAAGGGACCCTGGGATCACACACCCTCTGTCCCAGCACATGGAAGGGACCCTGGGATCACAGCCTGTCCCAGCACATGGAAGAGACCCTGGGATCACACACCCCCTGTCCCAGCCCACAGAAGGGACTCTGGGATCACCCCCCATCCCAGCCCACATCCCCCCTCACCCTGACGATGTAGACCCGGACCAGGACGTTGACGGGGTCGTTGCTGGGGATCCCCCGGAACATCCCGAGGGTGGGGTCGTATCCTGCTTCCCTGGTGACATCCTCGGGCAGCGGCACCTTGTACACACACAGGGAGCCCTGGAACAAGGGAGGGCCCAGCCCTCGGTGAGTGGGGGTGTAATAAATTAGCAGCAGTAGTTTAATTTACTCATCAAATTAGTAGTAGTAGTTTACTCATTAAATTGCATTGCATGTTATATTCTTATATACCTATATAGGTATATATAGGCATGTTATATATATATATAGGCATGTTATATTCTATTCTTATATACATATATATGTTATTATAATCAATGTTCTGTTAAGGTTGGGAGGCTGCAAGTTGCAGAATGGTTCATTATTCTGTCAGCACTGTAGGCTGATAGTCCTGCAGCTTGCAGTCCTCAAGCTGGAAAGACAAATTATTGTGCCTTGCTGAATAAGTATTTTGTATCTTATTTTTCTAAATTGTCTGAATAAGTATTTTGTATCTTATTTTTCTAAATTGTCTCATAGCACACGCATAAAGTAACGAAGGGAAGGACAAGGATCAAAGGGTCAAGAACGAGGATGATAAAGAGAATCCAGGATGGACATCTGGAGATATCTACACACTAAGCTACACACTAGGCCTCAAGGACTAAGGACTGATTAAAACTATGGAAAGGAAAGCACCTGGCAACTGAAACGAGCCTGCAAAAGAACCAACCAAGAACCAGACCTGCAAACTTGGATCCAATAGAGGGATAACAAGTGATTATGGGAAGGGAATTGATAAGGGAATAAAAGTTACTGGTTTTGCTTACTGTGTTTGCGTGCTGTGAGTGGAGCAGGAGCCTCCCCGGCCGCCCAGCGCTGTTTTGCTTATTTGCATTTTATATAAATCTTCAATAAACTTTTATTGCTATATTTCAGCCTAGTTTCTTTTACTTATAACAGGGGGCACAGAGCCCACCCCAGCACGGGGGTCCCGGCCACCACCCCTGCCCCTGGACACTCCTGGGCCCACCCAGCACTCGCCTTGAACCTGCCCACGATCCGCTCCTCCTCCGTGGCCGTGTCGTCGTTGTCCCCGATCTTGCCCCGGAGCAGGTTGAAGGTGTGCAGCCAGTCCTCAAAGTTGTCGAACTCCAACTCCAGCTCTTTGTTGAACACCTGGGACGGGGAGGAGTTAAAAGAGGGGGAATTGGGATTAAAAAAAACCCAACGAACAAACCACTGATGCCTGCTCAGGTGGTGCTAAGAAAAAAAAACTCAGGAGCAGTTAATTGAGGTTGAGATAAGGAAAGGGTTTAATTGTGCCAAGGCAAGAGATGTTACAAGACTCCTGCCTGAGATGTTACATTTTATAATAATATCTGTCCAATCCCAAATGTTTCCACCCCGTAGCCTTTGCTCTGATCTGCCCCCAGCCCATCCCCTTAGAATTGAGTCTGGGGTGCATTTCGGGACCCTCTCTTCATCACCATCACCATCTTCAGAGCACAGAGGGTACATGGTCGCCTAATTCTTGACTCTGTTCTGTTGTTCAGGCCTGGATATGGGTGTTCTTTAAACAGAATAGGCCTTGCCTTGACAAAAGACTAAACATTTCTACTGGATTCGGGGGTAGGATTGATATAAGGGGCATGGAATGGGGTAAGAGGGTTGAGGAATGTGTAAATAAAGGGTGCTAAAGGGTGAGGAATATAACACAGCTGCTTCTACTATAATTACATACAAAGCTTATGAAAATTAGCAAAATCAAAAAACTAAAAGGGTCTTAAGGCATCACCACAAATGGTGAGGAAAAGATGCGGTGAGCATGGAACAAGGGACAAAAGGAGAGGCAACGGCCTCCAGCTGTACCAGGGGAGGGGCAGGTGGGACAGGAGGAGGAATTTCCTCATGGAAAGGGTGGTCAGGCACTGGCAGGGGCTGCCCAGGGAGGTTTGGAGTGCCCAGCCCTGGAGGTGTCCCAGGAAGGCCTGGCTGTGGCACTCAGTGACAAGGTGGGCATCGGGCACAGGGGGGATCCATGGGCTGAGAGGGCTTTTCCAACCCAAGCGATCCTGGGATTCTGTGATCCCAGCGCCCAGTTCTCACAGGCTACATGAATCCTAAATAAATCCTTGGAATCGCTGATCCAGAGCCCGCCCCTGCCCCAAATCCAGGCTGGAAAACTCTCCCCTCCAGCCGGGGCACATCCAAGCTGCCCCAGGGATGAGCCTTCCTGGGAACCCCCCTTTTCTATCAACCCTGTGACCTCCAAGTCCCCCCAACCACGGAGAGAAGCTGTCAATCCTCATCCCAGGATACATCCCCGGGTGGGATCAACCTCCCCTAGGATCAGGCACTTCCTTGGAAGCAGCAGAGGCTTCCCTGCCCCCTCCTTCCCCCTCCACACGCACCTTCAGCTCGTCGACCTTCTGCTTGTTCTTCTTCTCCGGGAGCTCGGGGGCCGCCTGCTGCTGCTTCTTCTTCTTGTCCTCCTTGGGTGCCTTGGCCTTGTCCTTGTGCCTGGCCTGGCCCTTGGAGCCTTTTGCAGAGTCACAGAATCCCAGAATCAGCCGGGTTGGAAAATAGCTCCGAGATCATGGAGCCCAACCCTGGATCCAACCCTGCCGTGGTTCCCAGCCCATGGCACTGATGCCACATCCAGTCTGTCCTTAAACACCTCCAGGGATGGAGAATCCTCCCCCTCCCTGGGCAGCCCATTCCAAGGGCTGATCCCTCTCCACGGAAAGAATTCCTTCCCGATATCCAACCTGCCCCTCCCCTGGCACAGCTTGAGACTGAGCCCTCTTGTCCTACTGCTGGTTCCTGGGAGCAGAGCCCGATCCCACCCGGCTACAACCTCCTGTCAGGGAGTTGGAGAGAATGATGAGGTCTCCCCTGAGCCTCCTCCTCTCCAGGCTGAGCCCCCCCAGCTCCCTCAGCCTCTCCCCACGGGAATTGTGCTCCAGTCCCTTCCCAGCTTCGTTGCTCTTCCCTGGACCTGCTCCAGCCCCTCCATGTTCTTCCTGAGCTGAGGGCCCAGAGCTGGACACAGCACTCCAGGGGTTTTCCCTCCCTGGGCCAGAGGACGTGCAGGCAAAAGCACTCCCAAAACCCGACCCCTCCCAGGGAAACACGACACCCTGCGAGCCCCTGGAGTGGCCATGGAGCTGGGCAGGATCCACGGGGATCCTGAGAGCAATCCTGGTCCCCCCGTGCCCTCCCTCCTGCCCTGCTCACCCTCTCCAAGCTCCAGCTCTTCCTTCTCCTCCGCTTCTGCCGCGGCCGCTTCCTGCTGCCGGAGTTGCTGGGGGAGGAACGAAATCGTTGGATATCGGGAATGATTTCCTCGTGGAAAAGCTGCCCCGGGGTAGAAGTGGAGTCCCCACCCCTGGAGGGGCTCAAAAGCCCTGTGGGTCTGGCACTCGGGGCAGTTGGACTCGATCTGGGAGGGCTTTTCCAGCCTGAATGACTCTGGGACAGGCAGGGCCGGCAAGGGATGCGGCGCATCCATGAGGTTTTGGGAGGAGCTGGAAAAGGGTGGGAGCTCCCAGCCAGGGAATAACGTTTTCCTGCCCCTCCAGCCACACCCCTGCCCTGCCCCAACCCACCTCCTTCATGGTCTCGATGGAAGCGAAATACTTGGACCACCAGTCCAACATGCTCTCGTCGGGCTCCTCCTCCTCTGCCTCCTCCCCTCCTCCTCCTCCTCCTCCTCCTCCTTTCTTCTTCTTCTTCTTCTTCTCCTTCTCCTCCTCGCTCTGAAGGCCCGAGGGAAGCAAGCACAGAAGGGGAGGGATGGCAGGGAGGAGGGAAATGCCTCCTGAAGTGCCAGGGCGGATCCAGGCTCCAATAGCCTCGGAGCCACAGAATCATGGAATGCTTGGGGCTGGGAGGGGTGCTAAAGCTCATCTCATCCCACCAGGGACACCTGCCACTCTTCTGGGTTTCTCCAAGCCCCGTCCAGCCTGGCCTGGGACACTCCCAGGGATGGGGAAACCCTGAGACCACCCCCACCCCCAGATTCCCATCATCCCTTCCATCCATGCATTCCTGGGACAGTTTTAGTCTAGGCCTTCCTTGGTGACCAGTTGGGAACCAAGGAAGTGGGCATGTTCCCAGTATTTCCTATGATTTTTACATAAGCCAGGGTATGAAGAAGAAGGAGAGAGAAGCTTTTTTCCTCTTCTCTTCTGGTGGCCATGTTTCCAGTATTCCCTACAATTTTTACATAAGCCAGGGCATAAAGAAGAAGGAGAGAGAATCTCCGCCCTCTTCTCTTCCGGTGGCCATGTTCCCAGTATTCCCTACGATTTTTACATAAGCCAGGGTACAAAGAAGAAGGAGAGAGAAGCCTCTGCCCTCTTCTCTTCTGGTGGGTCTGAAGGCACAGGCTCTCTGCTGTTGGTCCTGCTTGTGTCGGGGAGTGAGGTCTAGTGAGGCCTAGTGAGGCGTAGCGAGGCCTAGCGAGGCCTAGTGAAGCCTAGCGAGGCCTAGTGAAGCCTAGCGAGGCCTAGTGAGGTCTAGTGAGGCCTAGCGAGGCCTAGTGAGGCCTAGTGAGGCCTAGCAAAGCCTAGTGAGGCCTAGCAAAGCCTAGTGAGGCCTAGTGAGGCCTTGTGAGGCCTAGCAAAGCCTAGTGAGGCCTAGCAAAGCCTAGTTAGGCCTAGCAAAGCCTAGTTAGGCCTTGTGAGGCCTAGTGAGGTCTAGTGAGGCCTAGCGAGGCCTAGTGAGGTCTAGCGAGGCCTAGTGAGGCCTAGCGAGGCCTAGTGAGGTCTAGTGAGGCCTAGCGAGGCCTAGTGAGGTCTAGTGAGGCCTAGAGAGGCCTAGCGAGGCCTTGTAGGCCTCGGAAGGCGGAGGGTGCCAGTGGTCATTTGGCACAATTCTGCTCTCTCAAGGAGAGTGGTAAGATTTTCTTTTGCTAGTTTTTATCGATTGTGCACACCCGCTTCGGGGTTTGGGGGTTTTTTTGCGTTTTTGTCCCTTTTCCCTTCCCCTTTTCAGGGCGTTATTTGGAGTTCTTTTTTTATATGTACATAGTATTTTAAGTGTATATAACTGTAATATATGTAAGTATATCCACACCCACGAGGAGACAACACCGCTGTGTCCCTGCCCGTCCTGGGGGTGCAGGGGATGGTCCATGGGAAGCGGAGCAGAAGGGCTGGAGAGGGAGCAGAGGGTTGGGAGAGGGGACGCAGGGAAGGTCCAGCACTCACCACGTCCACCTTCACCACCGCGTCGGAATTCTGCCGTCCAGGGCGGAAGGGAGCAGGGAAAGAGAGAGCAGGTCAGAAACAAACCCTCGGCTGGGCACAGGTTGTGGAATCCCGGATCGGTTTGGGCGGGAAGGGACCTTAAATGTCATTTAATTCCAACCCCCTGCCACGGGCAGGGACACCTCCCGCCATCCCAGGTTGCTCCAACTGGGCCTTGGACACTCCCAGGGATCCAGGGGCAGCCACAGCTTCTCTGGGAATTCCAGCCCAGCCCCTCCCCACCCTCCCAAGGAAGAATTCCTCTCCCTGCCCTCTGGCAGTGGGATCCATTCCCTGTGTCCTGTCCCTCCATGCCTTGTCCCCAGTCCCTCTCCAGCTCTCCTGGAGCCCCTTTAGGCCCTGTAAGGGGCTCCAAGGTCTCCTTGGATCCTTCTCTTCTCCAGCCTGGACATTCCCAGTTCTCCCAGCCTGGCTCCAGAGCAGAGGGGCTCCAGCCCTGGGAGCAGCTCTAGGAATCTCTGTTTTTGTGGAGCACAGGGGTGTGAGAAGGAGCTGAAACTCCTGTTCTGGCCAGAAAACGGGCCCAGGTACTTCCAGGGTGTGACAGACCCCGATCCCTCTGGGACAACTTGGCTGCCCAAGTGGGAGCCCACACAATGTGGGATCCCTTGGAGAGTGGGAATTCCGTGGGGGGGTGGGACACTCACAGCTTCCAGCTTCACCACCGTCTCCATCTTCCTGATGGGAACCTCGGGCTCCACGCTGACCACGACCTCCCCTGTGGGGACAGAGTGGCACGTCCCGCCCGTCAGCGCCGGGAGCCCCCGGGATCCAACCCAGGGATTGAGATGGACAGGGTGAGGAGAGGGAGCAGGGACAGGGACAGGGTGGAGGAGAGGGAGCAGGGAGAGGGACAGGGATGGGGACAGGGTGTGGAGAGGGAGCAGGGACAGGG